GCTTTCAGGAACGCAGCTCCCCGCCCCGCCGCGCCCTCCAGCAGCTCGGGCCTCTCCATGTGCGGGAGGATAGATGTGCGCCGCCCGCGCCCGGCCCTGCCTCCCCACCAAACCCAACTTACATAGAAATGGGCCGACATTCCGCTCGCAAGAAGAGCAGAGCAACGCGGTCACTCGCTCTCCCCCGCTCCCCCCGCCGCCCACCAGCCTCTCTCCATGGAATGGAGGCCCCGTGGTGGTGGAGCGAGTCTCGTTCGGGCCGGCCGCTCTCTGGACTGGACCGTCATTGTTCCCCGCGGCCCTGCCCCCTGCCCGCCGCCGCGTCGCCCAGCCGGGTCAGCCGTGCGAGCTAGTCCGCCCGGCCGCGCGCGCGTCCGATGCGTTGCCTACCCCGCAGGCGGCCCGCCCCGCCCCGGCCCGCCCGGCCGGCTTAGCCGTTGCTGACCTTTGTGCCTTTGGACGGGGCCCGCTGGTGACGCCAGCCTGCGCCTGCCCCTCATTAGCACCTGCATATACGCAGGCGTTGCCCCGCCGCGCCGAGGCGGCAGGAACTTGATCAGGAGTGTCGACCTCCCGTCATACGGTCGTACGCGGTTAGTCACGCGAAGTGGCCTTTTGTTCGCCGGTAAAATGTGACAAAATGTGACAAAATCAGGTTTTGCTTATTATATATTTTTGGGAGGAAAAGAACCGATAGCTAAGTGAATGCGAATTTGATACGTTCTTCAGTGCGATGTGACACACACTGCGGGACTGACTCACCGGGAGCGCGATGATCTTCTCCAGGCGCTGCTGTGGGTCCTCGCCGCGCTTGGTCCTCACGAGGATGAAGATGCCGGCCAGGTCCGGGCAGGAGCGCACCAGCTTCTCCACCAGCACCTTGCCCATGAAGCCCGTGGCGCCCGTGACGAGCGCGTAGCGGCCCGCGAAGAACTCGGCCACGCCGGTCTCCTCCTCCATGTCGACACCTGCCGTGTCAGCGGACATATTTCACTTTTTGAGCTTGTCATACCGCAGAGGTGAAGTCGGCAGCCATGACAATCACAACGGCTGAGGTTTTTGGTGCACGGCAGACGCGACGCTAGTGTCACTCACCTTCGTAGTAGACCTTCCGATGTGATTAATTAGTCGCAGCCAGGCTGCGAGCCACTCGGAAGAGTCAGATCCGTTGGTCTCCCGCTCTCCACTCGAACACTCCGAAACAAAGGTTTGTCTTTGTTTTCGATTCCGCGCCTATTTCATGTTCCCCGTCCGCTTTTGTGGTCCAGCAGTCCTCCTCCTCCTCTTCTTCTGTCGCGTTCTTCGCCGGCGGCGCCTTCCGTCGCTCGTACTCGCCTTGTCCAACCACCCGTGGCACACTACTAACCACCTCCGCCCGATCCAAAGCCCTCGCGGCGCGTGTGAACCCGCGCGCTCCGCCCGGCTTGTAGTTTGAAAACAACCGCCGAGGGGTCGTCCCGTTGCCGCCGTGCCTGCTAACAGGTGCGAGGGAAGCGCGCGGACAACTAGGGAACAGTTTTCGGGCGGGCAAGACACCCCTACCCCTCTCCGTCCACCGCCGCGCCGCGGCCCCTCCCCCAAACAACTGACAAAGTATGCAGCGAATACGATTAACCCCCAGAGGCCACCACGAGCCCCACAACATTGCCTCGAGACCCCTCCTCCCCTCCCCCATCCTGGGCTTCGCTGACTCGAGAGTTGTCACCATCACCATACTATCTACTTATTAATTCTATATTTTATTTTTATTTGTTCGCATTCTCAATGTTTCTAATATTTGTTAATATCTGCTAGAGCGGACTGCGTACTGCAGTGGGGCTTTTTAGCCCTTTTGTATGAAGTCCTTAAATAAAAATTATTTCAATTTCAATTTCATGTTGTGCCCCACTAACTCCAATGAGCCGCAAAGGCACATAATCTTCCAAAACTCGCCTAGTTTGAATCAAACAATTTCTTATTCAGGTGGATAGTCGATGTCTGGTCTGGTGAGGGATCATCCGTAAAGTGCGTCCGTCATTCTCCGTTAAGCAACCTGTCGAATGCAGCCCATGGAATGGAAGCTCTCAAAACGCCTGATGGGTAGGCAACATCTTGCATTCACTGCATGCGAGTACTGCGGGGTGGCCTACCCCGAGTATCGCAGGCGCCGAGCTCCCGTAAAATTCGCCGAATAATGAATCTAAGAAAAACGGACGGACTTTCCGGCCGGACGATGACTATAAGCAACCGGTGCTCTACGGGCCGTTTGCCCAGTACCGTCCCTTTTCTCTCCGGTCGACCGCGCGGGGCCGGGCCGACCCGTGAGCCTTTGGTCTTCCGGTGGCAAACGCATTTGCATCCTTACGGCATGAAGCCGTGGGTTAGCCGCGGGGTCGTCTCCGAGGAGGGCGGCTCCACCACGCCGAGCAAGCCCTTGGCCATGTGTGAGCTTCGCACGCGGCCCCGCGGCCCTGCGCGCGCACCCAGCCCCGGAGCCCGGCGGCGGCGCCCGACCCTCTCGCGGGTTCGAATCGTTCGGCAGAAGTCAACACACGACACGGCGCCGCTCCACTCCGCCGTACATCAGCGAGGCTGGCCGGGACGGCCCGCGGGACGCGGCTCGGAGAAAGCGCTTGCAGCCAGACCTCGCGGCCCTGCGCCTCTGGCACCGCGCACAAGCGCTTGCCGCGCGCCTCCTGCCTCCTGGTTGTGCCTGCTTCTAGCCCGTTCGGCGTTAACGTCCTTCCCTAACTTAGCCGATCTTTGCCCCCTGCGCCGTCCGAACCCGACCCGTGACCTTCGCCGTACCATATTGCCCGTCGCCGTCGTGCGTTTCGCAGGTGCTGCTGCCGAGTGATTCAGTGCCAGGGGCCCCGGCGGGACCGTGAGAGTTTTCAATGAAATCACCCTCAAAAGTTAACCGTGTAAAGTGTCCGCCGCGGGCCACGGGTAGCTAGCAGGTGGCGGCAGGAGGGGGGGGGGGCGGAGACTTGCGACACTCAAGAGGACGTCGACCTCCGCGGGGGAGGACTCTCTCCCCCACTCCTCTTCCGGGACTGTTTAAAAAATTTAGTGCATTGGACACGTGCTGTGTTTGTCCGGTCGTGGTGGTGGTGGTGCCTGCCTGCGGGACTTTGGCCGGGCGTTGACACGACCGCTTTTTAGCTCATTGACACACAAGGTAAAGGCTGCAAAAGAAGGTGATTACGCGCCAACTTTATTGTGTTTTCATCGCACAGGTCTGCTGCAGCAGCACAGGTCTTTACGCGTTTTGCCAATAACGCGCTCGACTGCGGCCGCCCGGTACGTCGTCGTCGTACGTACGTACCCAGCAGGCCGGCGTGCGCGCCTATAAAAATTTCTTGTTGACGCATCGATCAATCTGATCTACCGCAATCATCATCGATTAAAAACTGCTTAGGAATAGATGGCGTGTCAAGCTTTTTTTTTTCATCCACAGCGACATTCCTCTCCCTCTCTCTCCACCGCGCTTCCCCCGCGGCTTGGTGGTGGTGGTCGGTCGCGGGCGGGCGGGAAGACAGACGGACTAGGAGGCTCACGGAGGTCGCCACTTTTATAGCGTGAGCAGAAAGCTGATAACGTTAATTGGCCACATATACAGCTCACTGCGCAGGACCCAAAACAACACGAACGAGAGCAGCAGGACCCGGGCCGTTTTATCGATCATCACCATCCTGTGCGGACAAGAGAGAAAAGAGCGAGAGGATATAAGGGGGGAAATAAATAAGTCGTGAGTGACGATCAACTGGAGACAGGTGCGCGTCGTAAGCTAGCCGCTCTCATCCTCTCTAGCCTGTACCGGCAGTAGCACAGGGTCGAAGGGGCGGAAAAACAACTATCACTGTCTTGGGTACAATTGCTCACCGGCCATATTTTTTTTATGACGAGTGGGCGATTGTCCAGTTTCAGTACGGCGCAGCCAGGTGTTTTCAGGGTTGAGAGTATGAACGGGGAGTGCGGTGCATGATGCTATACCTGGCGTAGTGCGCCTTGGCTTTGGGCAGGTCCTCGTCGCGCTCCTTGAGGAGGTAGCGCCGGCCGCCGATGGCCACGTTGCGGAAGTAGGACTTCACGTCCACGTCCCGGAAGTCGAACTTGAAGTCGGCGGCGTCCTCGGGCAGGACGACGGTGTCGAGGGCGAGCGCGTTGGCGTTCCGGAAGGTCCAGGATCGCAGCAGGAACGGGGCGAGCGAGTCCTGCGCCGCGTAGATGCGCCTCTGCATGCGCCAGATCCTGGAAGAGGAAAAGTAAGAAGGGCGTCTTTGAACCGCGATCCGCAGCAGGCCGGCGGCAGGGTGACGAAGAAGACAACCTTCCTCGTGTTCCCGACGAGTCGCGCCCTCATTGACCCGCGCGAGTCGTTAAACGAGAAATGGGGGACGGGCAGCGCCACCTAATAACGGGCTTGCGGAGCCATCGCATAGAGCACGGCGGGGAGGAGCCGCGGGCCGCGGACATGACCCGAGAGCTTAACGATCCTGGAGGAGGATGACGGGAGGACGCGCCCCGCCCAGCGGCGGCCGCGCCGGGTGAAGGGGGGACCTCCCGGGTAATGTCAGCCATGAGGAAGAACACGGCGGGGTGCGGGGCCTTCACCTGGGCCGCCTGCCGGACAGCAGGAGAGCGGCGTCCATGAAGAGCGCGGGAATCATGTGCAGGAGCAGGGTGCCGACCAGCAGCAGGGCGCGCGAGCTGGTCGTCAGGGTCATGGGGGGCCACAGCACGTTGTCGAACGGAACCTCGGCGGCCAGCGGCCGCGCCATTGCCACCATCTCGGACATGACGACGGGCTTGACGGCCGCAGAGGAGCAGTTGTAGACGGGGACCTCCCGGCCCGGTGGCCTGCTCGGTGGCCTCCTGCAACAGAGGTGCGCGGTGAGCAGGGGCGTGGGCCGTCGGCGCCGACCCGCGGAGGCCAACGTCCTGGACTTACCCGGCGGTCGCCCTCTCCCACGCAGCCACGATGATGGCCTTGATGGCGATGTCCACGGGCATGTAGTCGGCCACCACCTCCGAGTCGGCCAGGGCGACGTGCACCAGGCCCTTCCCCGCCGCGGCCATGAGGCCCACGGGGCCGTGGAAGTTGTCCATCCAGCCGGCCACGGGCTCCGAGAGGGACGAGATCACTGCGGGCATCGCCAGAATCTCATGACGACAAGGCTCTGCTCCGGCTCCGCGCGGCCTTGCCCATAACGTTCACATCGTCCCGCTGCAGGTGGACACTCGACACTCGGGCCCTGTCCAGCAACTCCTCCCCCGCCGCCGCCACCGCTCGGGAGGGTTTCACAAGTGCCCGTATATTTCAGGTTTCACGCCTCGCTCAGGGCGGCGCCGCGATGTCGCGCGATGTCCTTCGCGCGGAGGAGAGCGACGCCGCTCCATAGCTCCGCGCACATACACACGGCGGCGGACAGAATTGGACCAAGAACGTATCGGCAACACCCCGCTCCCGCTCCCACACCGGCGGCGCTCTCGCACCTACACCTACCTATGGAGGGTCGGAATATGACAAGTGGTATCTTGTCACGATACGAGTAGATGCAGTGCTCTCCCAGAGACTTGGTGAAGGTGTAAGTGTTGGGTAGCCCGTCCAGCAGCCTGGGCACAGAGAGAGAGGGGGACTGTTAGTGTACTGCCCCTGCTGTCGCTTTGCGCTGCTGTCCGCTGTCCGACGGGCGCCGCAACTGACTTGGCCGTGAGGATGTCCAGGTGCTGGCTGTCCTGCGTCTCCATCGCGCCGATCATCTTGGCCCAGTCGGCGTGCGGCGGGTAGATCTTTTCGTCTATCTCCGGCCGGTCCGTGTTGCAGTACGTGGTGGAGACGTGCACGAAGGCCTGCGGGCAGCGCGGCGGGGTTCGCACTTCACAAGCTGCAGCGTTATCTCTCGTGACGAGTCGTGATATCCCCGGGTGAGAAATCACTCGCATACCCGTCCACACACAGTCTCCGACCCGACCCCCCGAGTCCGGGACCGCGGCGGCGAGCGCAGCGCGCACGCATCGGAGATGCTTTGCAACTGATTAGCTCTGCAGGAGTGACCCGGACCAGGTCTGGCCGCAGGTGCATCTGCCTATCAGAGCGAGGCGATCAACCGGCGGGCGCGCAGCGCAGCGGGGGACCCCGCCGACCGATAGGGACCCGGAGATTGACAGCGAAAATGGCAAATACCCGGCGGGGTCAGCGAGTGGAGTATGGACTGGGACGGGGCGGACTCACCTGCAGCCTCTTCATGCCGACGGCCAGCTCGGCCAGCTCTCGAGTGCCCCTTACGTTGATGGTGATGGCGCTCTTTAGCGGCTCGTCGAAGCGCACCGTGGCCGCGCCGTGAAACACGACGGCCACCTTGTCCTGGAGCAGCGCCCTGTCCGCGGCCGACAGGCCTAGGCCGGGCAGGGACACGTCCCCGCTGACGGCCACCAGGAGGCGGGCGGCCAGGCCGGGGTGCTTGCCCTCGAGCACGGAGAACAGCTGCAGCAAGGGTGCCGTCAGAGCCGGAGCTCTAAGGACTCGCGACGGGCCGCGGCTGCGAAAACTCTGAGACTCACCGGTGACTCCAGTATCTCCTTGACGCGGTCCTGGACAGCCTTACCGCGCTTGGGCCGCAGCAACAAGAACACGCCGCCGATCCCAGGGCACGAGCGGATGAGCTTCTCGACGAGCACCTTCCCCATGAAGCCCGTGGCGCCCGTCACCAGGACGTGTCGCCCTGAGAAGTAATCTGCGATACGAGGTCGGGGAAGACCATGGCCTTCCCTAGCGTTCGGCGTTTTCCCCTGAACCGACATGGTGCCTGCAATGCCCACTCTTCGTCCCACCGAGCTACTCGGCGTCCTCCAGTGCCCTGCCTGTGGCGCGCTGAGCGTTTGGCAACGCACTGCGACGCTAGCATTTTCAGGAAAGTGTCTCAACAGTCCGAATTTGCATTCCGAGGCAGTACAACACCCACCCACCCACACCACTTCCAGGCCCTTCCCATTCTTACCACCACCGTCCCCCTCTAGCTTTCATTCTTTTAAAGTACACGCAGAAAAAAAATTCGTGGCTCTGCTGTTTTTAGCACCGGGGCTAAAAAATTAACTGAATAGACTCAGCTAATTTATTTAGCACCAGGGTTAATTTTTTAGCCATCCAGTAAACCGCACTGTTTCTTACCTGTGTAGCTAATGCCACTTAGCTCTACTGCTAAATATTTTTACATCCAGCTAATTTTTTTAGTTAAACCGATTTACACGAAACTGAATTTTATTTTTCTGCGTGTAGACAATGCCTTAATTTTCTTTCTTACACATCCAAAATCACTCTCAATAGCAGCGTTTGCTTTTAAAGCGCCAC